TGACCTGGATAGCAAACGGCAACCAGACTGTCATCCTCCAGCTGAGCCCCAGTAGGGCTGGCATGTGGTTGGATGAGACGACGCGGCGCGCGGTCTCATCTGCGTGTTGTCATCAGTGACGCCCTGAGCTGCGATCATGGGATGCGACGTACCAGCATCGGCGCAGCAATTCCAGCTAGTCGCAATATCTGCAACTTCAGAGACTGGCGTATTGTGTCGACGGCAAGGATGCCGAGGAAGAAGTCAAAGACGGCTGAATCCCCAAGCGGGAGCCTCAAGACGCTGGCGCTCGTCAGCGCTGTGGCCGTGTCTCATGAGGAGAGATGGGTTCTTACCAGTTCTGCTCCCGTTCGCGAGGATCTGGGCAACTGCATCGATCTCTTCAGAGCCTGCATACCACAGCTGCTGGACCGTGTGAAGGACATCTCCCAGGGCTCGCGTCCGCCGGAGCCGGTCCGGGTCTGGCAACAAGGCGGCATCGCCCCCTGCCTGGTTGCGGACTAACTGACCAGTGTTGTCATGGGTCCAATTTTGTAACAGCGAGTCTATGTCTGACGCTGTTAATGTGTTAGCGGCAGCGGTGGTGTGCTGCTGATGGTCGCCCGGCGTGACAAGCTCGTCCACGGCTTGAGGAATAACATTCTGGTGCAGATTCTCCATATTTGGTACTTATAAAACCAGGTCCTCGCCCACTATGACTCGTAGTCGTGTATGGTTTCTTGTAAAGGAAAATAGAGAACCAGACCTATATTCTCTGAATGAAGGCGAATGTACTGGAGTTGTTGGAGAACCTCGGGCTGAGCTTCAAGTCGAAAACGGTCTCATGTGCTTGTGCCTGTGAGTATGGCGAGTCTGCCATACAACGCGTGGCTGGTGTCGTCTTTGGATGTGGCTGTGTGTGCCACACCTCGATGCTAAGCAAACAAATGGGGCCTTCGCAGCACGTGATGAGAACACCAAACTAGACACTTCGAAAACGAGCCACAATCATCACCAGGTCGCCTACAACGCGTAATCCACCCATCCTAGGAAGTCGCTCTTTGAGGCACCGCGTGCTCATCATCACGCGAGCTCTCCATGGATCTGGATGCCAGGCGACTGCAGAGTGCAACTCGCCAAGCGGCAGCTTCCACGGAGTTTCGCGTCTGGGCTGAGGATCAGCAGAAAAGGTGCCATTTCACCAAGCTTGAAACGACAGTGATGCTCGGA